ACGCCTGAATCCGTTGTCATCGATGCGTTCAAGGGACTCGCATTCAAGACTCCAATTCCATCATCCGATTGATGTCCCCATCAAATCTTTCTGTGAATTTATACTCACGCCTTCCGAACAGCGCTACTCAGTGGTCTTCACCGAAAAGGTAAACCACAAAAGCTCATGAACTTCTGAGGTAATTGTACTCTCACACTTCTGATCGTCTAAGCGATTACGGTTAACGATCCAATCCATTCGGAACAACCAGCGGTGTTCGACATGACTGTCTCATTTCTCCGCTCTTGTTTAAGTTCATCATCCACGAAATGACGAAGAAAGGCCTTGCAAAATCTTCAGGATGTGGGCGTCGAGCTAGAAAATGGTGCGATCTGGATTACGCCGACGACCTTGTCTGCTTGTTAAAATGCACGGAACACGCGCAACGTGCACTCGATAGACTCGCAAGAGCTGTAGTTTCACTCGGCATGCACTTTGCACCTTCAAAGTGTACAGCAGTGTTGCAAGACTGAACGTCAACGGTTCCGAGCTTGATGCTCGACAGGTGCTGGCAGTTATTGATCGCCTCACTTACCTCGGCAGCAGCGTGACGACGGGTAGGAGCATGCGTATATCCGAGGTTCTAGCTGCTTACGTTGGACTGAAGCACTTGTGGCGCCGATCTGATAGTTCGCTGAAGCTGAAAGGTCCTGTGTACTGTGCCGCGGTGTGTTTAGTCTCGTTGTATAGTTGCGAGACTTGGGGTCTGCGTGCGTAAGATGCTCATCGCCTTGAGGTTTTCGACTACCGAAGTTTGCATAAAATTGCTGAGACTGGATGGAATGACCGAGTAAGCAATGTTGAGGTCATGAATCGAGTATTGGGTATCAGTTCAGAGAATGTTCTATCACTGCGTATCCAGCTTAGTAGACTTCGTTGGTTGGGGCACGTGTTGCGTATGACAAAACACACGTCTACCGTACCGTGCCCTGTTTTCCATTCCTCCTCGGGAGTGGAGTGAATCACGTGGAGATCAACAAATGACGTGACTACGGGGAATGAGAAAATGTACAGCGAACTTGGGAAAAGTAGGTTCCTCACGTCTTCGTGATTGGGGTCCAAAAGATTCCTGAACCAGTTGGCTGGAAACACTGAGGGATATGGCAACCAACGGTGAACAGTGGCGATCGTGTTGTCACTTTCTGTCGATTCAGAATGATCGATCAATGTGCGTTTGTACAGTTAAACTGTATTTCATATGTTGGTTACTACGGCGTTCTTTTCTTTGCCTACCCTTGTAGGTCCACTCCCTGTCCATCTTGTATATTCATTCTTTCAATTTCTACACGCAACATAGTGAGAAAGGCAGTGGTCAGTGTGGCTTGCTCTGCTGGTTAATGTGGTACGATGATGATTGACTCAAGTCGACCACATCGCTATAAACCACAAATGGCTGGGCTGCGTACAAGACTCACTCGTACCGGAGCACCTCCCCTTTTGATGCCGACCACGCATTGGTTTGCACTGAGCTCTCTGTGTGCTTCCGTGGGCACTCCAAACGCATACTGCAACGACGGTTAAATTGCGGCAGGCTTTCTTGTCCATCTCATTGATCTGTTTTCTAAAAGGCGGTAGCTCAAATGCTAGCTGGGACCCAACTTGATAAGATCAAGCAGCAGTGGTCGCTGTTCGCAAATGCTTTTGCAATCAGCTAGTCTAGTATTAACTGGTCTAATGCGGTAAGACCCAGGATTTCTTGTTTTGAATCACTCGAAGTGAACTATAGTAAAAGGGGTAAACTGCATCGTTCGGAACTGCACTGTAAGAAGAATCTAGAGAACATCCACGTCGAAACCAATTAGTTGATTCCGCTTTTGGAAAGAGAAAGGTTGCAGGTGGATGGAAAGAGAAAAACAAATGGTGTTCCATAAATTTACCATACGGGTGAAAAAAGACTGAAAGGTCGAGGTCCGAGAATCTCTGCGTCTTCTCAACGCACGCCAGTTGGTCCCGGTTGGGAGCGAGTATAACGCAGCACGACTCGTAATGAGACGTGCGCTCAACGCGAGTCCTAAGGACCGCGAAATCTGGTGATCCCAGTATGCATCAGAGGTGGAATGTACTGCTGCCGTGGGGAATCCCCGCAAGCTGTTCTATCTCATTCGAGTCACCGGTAGGAAGCTATTGGGTGTAAGTGAAACAATTCGGGATGCTGACGATTCGCCCACTCACAATCAACAACAACGATCTAACGCTGGGCGGAGCACTTTCAGACAGTTTAGCTGGTCCTCGGTGTCAGCTTCTCCTATTGCTCTTCCGGCACTCGACCAGTGGTGCGTTTCAACATGCCATCTACCAAGGTTGAGATCCGAAAGGAAATCCAGACCTTAGGACGTCACAGAGTGCCGGGCTCCGATGGTCTTCCTCCAGTAGTTTCAAAGATGGTGGCGAACAGTTCGTCAGTAAACTTGATGCTTCCTCAGAAGTTTGGAATTCCGAGCAGGGGGCCCCTTTATGAAGGGAGTCGGTTTTTGTCCCCACCCTTAAGAACGGGCTGGCGCAGTGACTGCGCTGACCATAGAGGTGTATGCTTTATCTCAGTGGCGTCGAAGCTGCTTGCGTTTATCCTATTTCTTAGATTGTACCAAACTGGTGAAGAGCATATTGGCGAGGAGCAAGCTGGGATTTTGTGCCGGTTGTGGATGTCTCGACCAAATCTTCACCTCTGCGGCAACTACTAGAGCACCGTCACCCTTTTCAAAGACCAGAAGTCAATATGTTCCTGGAAATTCACGCGGCCTTCGACTGTTTTGACGATACTGCACTGTGGTACTGTTTATTGAAAAATGGAGTACCTGTGAAGTAAGTGTCAATCCCCGAAGAGTTGTATCGTCACACGTCGAGTCGGGCAAGAGCTTACGACCAGTTTTTGTCCTCTTTTGTTGTCTCCAGTGGAGTGCTACAAGGTTGCCCGTTATTCCCGTTTCTCTTCCATTTTGCCATAGTGGATATTCTGCAGAGTACCTTGTTTGGTCTTCCAACGATTGAAGTTGAAGTCCTCCCAGGGAACAGAGTTTTCGACTCGTAATATGCCGATGTTATCGTCTTGCTGAATGATACTGCAGAAACAATACAACACGCTCTGAACCGCTTGACGGTTGAGATATCTAGATACGGAATGTGCTTTGCACCTTCTAAGTGCAAAGTGCTTTTACAAGATTGGCAGGAGCCTGTCCCTGCACTCCATCACGACGAGACTGCACCTCGGTGTAATGTAATGGCTTGCGTGCCTCCATGATCCAAAGAACTATGCAAGATGGCTTTCTTAGGCCTGAGATGCAATCATGCATGATAGGTCAATGGACAGAGGCCAAACGAAGTCTGTTGTGTGAACCAATTGATGGGCAACATCTGGTTCTAACCACTCTGCCCTCTGGATAGGACACCTCAGTGAATAAACATAAAGGAAAACAGTTTTCCGGTCTTAAAACCTCTACTAGATGGACGTAGGAGTGGAGTATCTGGGTTTCTCTCGGCGATGGGAAAAGTCGTCACACTTCGTTGGGCAGCTATCGCCCGCCTAAGCTGGACAGCCCCCAGCCCGAAGGATGCTGCCCAGTTTACGTTTCGTTTGCTCCATTGGGTGCATGGGGTTGATGACTGAATCCGAAAAGCGGATCGAAAACAAAGCAGCAGCGAATTCAAGGCAGAATGCTTGTACTAATCAGTTCTCACGTGATAGACCAAAAGAAGTTCCTTCACGGATGCTTCAGCCCTTTACAGGGAGGACGCGGAAGGTTTCTGGGTGAGTCATAATTTGCGGCTCCCCACACCAAGAGGGATTTTTCTTCGGATATCCTTTGACTCCTAAGTCTGACCCACAAGGCAGTGGGGCGTTAACTCAGCACGCGAACCTAACTGAAGCATCCGTGAAGGAACTTCTCCTGCTCTATGTGAGAACTGATTATTATAAGCATTCTGCCTTGACTTTGCTGCTGCTGTCCGGCAACGTTTTTAACCAGCGATAATCCGCGTTCCTTGGACCGAAAACAAGGAAGCGGGAAACACCGACTGAGGCCAATGGTGATGCTAGCTTCCTCATACTTCTGTTCGTGTTGGGCAAGGGTGGAAGAAACGACGCGGCGGTCAGGCCATAACACTATATATATATATATATATATATATATATATATATATATATATATATATATATATATATATATATATATATATATATATATATATATATATATATATATATATATATATATATATATATATATATATATATATATATAATATGCAGCGGTGTCAACCACAGTGAGACAGTATGAGTGAATTTTCTGTCTGTTGGTTGTTTGGTTTTCATCTCAGGCAAAACGCTTCACATGATCTGGTAAACTTTGTTAAGTATTGCTTAAGTTGCATAATTTGTCCATCGGTTTTCCCAAATTGACAGTAGTCTGCCTACCAATCGTTGGTATCTTTCACCGAGTTTGTCGTATCCCGATCTGTATTACACGGATAAAATCCCACGCATCTCCGTTGGAACTATTCTTTCGCTGTTTCAACCACATCGATTGTGATGTGACCGTTTTGTTTCCAATCCTCTTTCTCCTCGGTTTGCTTTTTCACCTACGTGTTTAATCGTCGACAGGTTACACGGAAATATACGCGTGTGCATGCATAGACGGCTGTGTAGTGCATTTAGTAGATGCGGTTAGTTCTTCATGTCTTTCCAATGTTTCATTCATAGATGTGTGGCAATTGTTCTCTTCATATCTATTGTCGAAAAAGCTGCCCACTCACCCGTCTCCTTACACGTGCATACATAAACACCGACCAACAAGTTGAATGATAGGATTAACGAATCTCTCTTATTTCATGTGCTCACCATTGATCGTATTGTTCTTGTTACCTTCTAATAATGAATATATAAGTGATCATCTCCGACCCGTCTGTTTTACTGTTCCATCCAATTTTCAATCGGTTTGTGCAATGTCTACTTGGTATCGATCAAGCATCCGGTCACACGGACTCTCGTCGTCGAGCGGAGGGTTGGAACAAGAAACGAAGAAGACTGGTAAGTGTTATCAGTTACCTCAACGCATCCATTTATCCACCTACTGTCATTGCTTCTCAGCCTTTTCTGTTGGTGATAATAATTGGGTTTTGAACCCCTTTCATTTCATGTGTTTTTACTATTTTTCTGGTAGTCTGGTCGTATGATTTGCTACTAGTCTCATCCAGTGTTTTGCACGTTTTTTTCCCCGGTGCATAATTTATCCTGTCCATTCTAATCAGCATTGTAGTTGGTGACTTGATAATAGGTTCAGTTATCTTGATGTGTATGTTTATCCACTCACTTGATAATCCCTCTTTCCGGCGCATCGATGCACGTCATGTTTGATGGCTGTCCTGGGTCTTTCTGCTCAGGTAGACTATATAACTTTTTGGCTTATCAATACTCACACGGTTCAATGGTTTGAAGCATTTACGTTCACACACACACACACACACACACTTCGGTTTCTCTGTCGTGTCCGTGTTCGCTTATTGTGCATTTAAACAAGTCAGAACTACGCCATGCCTTTTCTGTGTATTTGGACTGTGCTGGATCTCCCACGTATTCCCCTCCCTTCCCATCGGTAAGACACAGCTCTGTCAGTGAGCTATCAGTCGTATCTCAATAACTTTCGCATAACAAATAAGTTTACGGTGCTTCAGCTCTGTGTTCACACCGGCTCATTTAACGGAAATCTGCACTGCCCCGTTCACGCATGTAGTGATTCCATTTATCATCTGTTCGCCGCGATCTAATCATTTTCAGTACAGACTCATCCAGAAACAATATCTGAGACTATCGTTTCGAGAAGAAAACGAAAACACTGCCTCATCATGAGGCCAAGTCAAAGTCGATCTCGCTTATTTTCCATTGAATTACTGGTCACATAGCCCGGGTGACGAAAGGCGCAAATCTTAGTTCTCGCTTGTTTTATCTCAGTCGAGCGGTTTAGTTCCCAAAGCGGATGTGAACTCATTTTACGTTTCTAACTAGTGATTTGTATTCGTTGTCGTAGTCTGACTTGACAACAGAAACCTTGTTCATAGCATCAGGCTTTCCTGTTGGCAAGTTGTCGGGTTTGGGCAATATTCACTCGGTTGCTCGATTCACTTGCGTATAAATTGACCAGAAGTCGGTTTCATTGTACTTACAGGTATTTGTTAGTTTGAATGAAGAAATGGAGATAATATGTGCATGCGGTGATGTTTGTATTCCTCTGTCTTGGATGCCAAAATGGAAACGGTCGGTTGTGCAAAACCTCCACTCAGAGAACGTGTTTCAAATATATTATTCGTCTAGTTGTTCTACATCCTAGGCACCAACCGATCGTAAGGGTGAGCAATTTTCACGTAGCACAAGATGGCTCGTCGGTTGCACAATCGCTTCCTATTCGTTTACAAATTGTTCTCGAATACGATGCTCCCATTGAAGCTGTGATCACTGGAATTGATTTTCGTGTTACACGGAGTATATCTGAAATGTCAAGCTATGGAATTCGCTACTGAAAATAATTTTGCCGTGCGAATCGTGCATCGAGTGAGCATCGCATATTGACCACTAAAGTTAATGGTCAGTATTCAGTTCACTTGCATTCAAACTTTCTTGATCTACAGGACTCCACCCTTTTACGTGCGCACGTTTTGATTTGTCTGTCCGCCGTTTGTAGTTTGAACAATTTTTTTTCCCAGCTGGTTTATTTTGTGAGGTAACAACAAAGGGTGAGGATAGTAGTCCGCAAAACAGAACGGCATCGATCACGTTTTACTGATCAAAAAGTGAACTGTTATGAATGGTTTTCGGGCGCAGCGCTCTTATCGTAGATCATGAAACTCTTTTTCCTACGTAGATATCTAACGGTAATGGTCGTTCGATGTCCTAAGGTACTTCAAAGTTAACGGGTTCTCCTTTTGATGAAACTTGCAAAGGTTTTAGTCGGAATACCGTTGTAGTCAGTTTTTCCATTATTGTTGTCCTCCACCATCTGCCTAACACGCACGTGGAATGATCGTTGCTCCCATGAACTTAAAATTGTATTATACTTTTTTGATCTGAGGTTGTCTTCTGATCATTGAGTCTATGTTTCTTTGGCACTAACTCTCGTGACGAGCCCTTCTAGGACAATCAGTTTATCATTTACTCAATGTGAAATAAAAATGGTGGCCACCGTTTTTCATCCAAGTGTAGCACCAAAGCTGTGCTAGGATGGCTCCGAGGACTATGCCGATTAGAGTGCAAAGCGCTCCTTCAAGGCCACCCATATCGGACAGATCAAGAACGAGTAACCAGAAAAAAGCAACTTTGCATTAGATGTAGCGGGTTTTTCGCCTGGCTGCGAACTCTCTACATAAAAGTCACAGAAGCCCATAGACAGCAACGTGACGTGCGCGAGTGTGGCCCGCCACTGAATGAGGCCATTGCTTCTTGCCTATTACTCGTCTATCCTGAGTGGGGTGAGATTCACTAGGACGCGTTGGGCATCCGCGACTGACAGATTGCCATCCAAAAGGTGTATGGTCCGCTTGTTCGGTCACCGGCTCCCAACAAACAAACCTGTTTCCGGATAGGTATCATTTGGTTGTGCACGGGCCAGAGTAGCTACCCCAAACAAAAAGCCGGGTGACTCTGGGGACGTCACTTCTTACCTAATTCCCAAGACGCTTCATGAGCAGTTCCTCTACACACACCGCTTATGGGCGGGTGCCATTCGGGACATCCATGAAACTGGCTCATCCTCTCGCAGGATCTAGCCGCATAAAAGTAAAAGTACCGAAGGTTGTTTCGCAGAATGATTGAGTTCGGCTTTTGAACTTTATCATTAGCATGGACTCACGGATTGTTGTTTCGTAATAAGACGGGAAGGACTGCAAAAGATGCAATATTTCAGAGGTTAGATTTTGATAGTCTAGTTGTTCACATGAACATGTTTCTAGTGCTTTTGCAAGACAAGGCAAGGTCATATCTTCTAGATGACATTGCAGTGATTGCGCCAGTCGCATAGGTATAAGTCTAATCGCTATTTGGACGCAGTTTTTAGGACCTGTTTCTTTGCCGCAGGTTGCGACACGCCTAAAGAGCAAATCCACCAGTTGCATGCTAGTTTTCAAAGCGATAATTGATTTCTTCATAAAATCTTCCATGTCCGATAGCTACTTGCCCTCCGTCAAGTCTTTTAATGATTGTCTTTTTTGTGGTGTCCCATTAACTCTGGTAAGAAGTCTTTCCCGCCTGTGGATAATTTCGTTGTAATAACGAAAAACTATGGATATATAGGTTGTCGGTGCATGCACCCACTCGTTGCACACAACGCATCGGTTCGACAGGTGTGGGCGACCAAGTCTTGGGGTTTGGACACCGCTGACTGGATTCACCTCCCACCTATCGATCCACGCCATTGTTCGTCTTTCCTGTCCGTCGTGCTTTCGTGGCCTCGGTGCTCGGCAGGCGCTGATGCACTGTCTGCCAATATGACTAAGCCGTCTATCGAATGATGTGTCAGACCATACCCTCACATCGTTGATCGCCGTCTACCTTCACGTTTTCACTGCCTTCCACTCAGTTGACAAAAATCTTGTAGGGTTATTTTCTGAAGAGTAAACTGCATACGAACGTCGATCTTGAACGAGTAGTGTCGTCGTACCTTCGGTCGTGTGAGAGCATTCGCCAACTCTGGACGCCGTTCGTCATGTTTGTTGGAGTGCGACGAAATTACTCTATATTGCCATTACTTTCTGTTTTTTGCCATGAAGAATTCACTGAAAAGTGTCTTGTTCAATCTGCAAAACGTTAGATTTGATCTCCCATTGAGTAGTTTTTGACTTTAAATGCACCGACCACATTGCCTTGCTGGGTAATAATGTTCGGGTTAAAGCGTGCGATCAAGATTGCTTGACGATTTATGCATGGAAGTGTGGCATTCATTTCGCTCCACACGTGTAAAGTATCTTTGCAAATCTTGAGGACAACTGAGCCTACAGTCACCTTTTGTGATGGTTAATTAGGAACAGTTGATAGTTTAAAGTACCCGGAGGTTGCATCATAAAAAGAAAGAGCTGGAGAGGCATCGGTCAACCTCCGTCACATGTGGCGCCGCCGCTACATTCAGCTCGCAATGGGGGTGATACGTAGTGCCTTGCTTTATGGTTTCGTGACTTGGCTACTGCGCTCTGAGGACGCTCGGTGTCTTGCGTATTCCACAACTGATGTAAGGGGAAAATTTTCTGGACTTGGTATACATATATATTCTTAACGATTTGTTTCTGGTTTGTTCTTCCATGTATTCGAATCATCCCACACCCGATGATGTCGATTACTGGGGTTGGATGTTCCCTTTCGCGTCTTTACGCACACTGACTCGAACAGTAGCGCCTGAGGGTTTAGTTCATTGAATGTTTCGTTTCCGTGTGCTTAACATCCGCGCTTCTGAATCGATCGCCCAGTTTCAATTATGATTGTAATCCTCAGTAAGATTCAGACTTCGCGAAAGCGTATTTGTGGGGTCAATATGAACATGAAATGATCCATAAAAGTACATTCTCTCCATGCGATTAAAATCGTCCATGTAGAAATGACAAGACATTCTGATTTTTCCGTAACGTCTTAAGGAAATTCAAAAATAGAATTATTCCAATGTCTTAATGTTTATCTTTCACTCTGTGGCGTCTGGCTGTCATTTTGTGTGCTTTGTTAAATGCAAAGTTCGATTATGTGATTATGTACAAACGTTGAGAAGTGTAGAACGTGGTTACAGTTTGGTTTTATCCGAGCGGTATGTTTTTTTTCTACTGTCGAGTCGATGCTACGAACTTCAGGTACTACAACCGCCGATCAGTTTTGTTGGTAGCGAACGCACCGCCGTCGCTCGCATCTTTGTCTCATACAGTTTTATTTCCAATTCTTTCCCCACGTTTGTTTCAGTCGATCCAATTTTCTCCGTGATATGCGTGAATACTATTTGTCCGTGTATGTAGTTAAATGCGGTTAGTCCCATTTATTTCTCGTAGCTTCGCTCCGAACTTCAC